TCAGCTACTGATTACAATGGGGAAGTAGAGTGTAGGAAGAAAGTTAAGGATTTACTCCCTCTTTGGGTCACTTCTTTTCACCTTCTCGAGTTCCCATGCACAAAACACATCAACCTACAACAAGAACTAAGAATGCTGTGGGGTTTTTTCAAGAAAACGTATTTAGTCAAAAGCAGCATAGACTTAGAAGAGTGGTCATACAATTTTAAAGAAGGTTTGATGGTAGCATGAAACATAGCATTGATATCCCAAATGTCATCTCCCCAAAACTTCTCAGTTTGATATTATAACATCTGAGTGCTAATGCACAATGCCCTTCCAACAAGAAAGAAACATCTGGCAAGGGTATATTTCAAATTCTCAATAAACTAAGAGTCATGGTGGCTCAGTGATTAGAATGGAGTATTGCAGGCTAATTCTGCCAACTGCCAGCAGTTCGATCCTGACAGGCTTAAGGTTGACTCATCCTTCGATCCTTCCGAGTGGGTAAATGAGGACTCAGGTTGTTGGGGGCGATATGCTGACTCTGTAAACTGGTTAGAAAGGGCTGTAAAGCACTATTAAGTGATATATATGTCTCAGTGCTACTGTTATTGCTAAACTATTGTCCCCTGTAGAAATTGCTGTCAACAATCCTGAGGGCTTTATATCCAACAATAAAATGATATCAAATATCATTGGCTTATAGAAAGTGCTGGGACTGCTGAAAAAAAACCTATAGAAAAGCATCTTCTACCTACAGAAAAGCTATGACTTTTCTGTTGTTTATGTGATCAATTGTTTCCCTAATTTTGGCGCTCCAATAAAGGAGCCATCAACAGATTGATGGAATTTCGTTATGATCTACCACACAGTCAAGTGCCTGATTCACATTATACACTACAGACTAAAGGAGACCAATTAAAATAGAGCTGACACCATTTCCAACTACCAGTTAACTGATAATCCCCAAGGACCCTTCAATCATGAACCAATCCCACAAAATTCAAATTCCACACAATTATAAATACTGCAAGGTGATCCCCACTTCTCAATCCTTGCTCTGAGGAAGCCTTGCCAGAATGTAAGGTGGCACTTCTGCACAAAAACCCTGGTATCTACTTTGATATATATCTTGCTAAGCTTAGATAACCCCAACTACAGTTTAAATTTCCAATGATGTATCAAAATACAACCACCCCCTCCACTCCCAGAACCAGTAAATGCAATTCCTTACCTTATAATACATTGATACAATCCTGAATCTTGAGCTATGGCAGGGATAAACCAGAGGCTGGTTTTCTCTTGGAATACTCTTGAAAGAGGCTGTGTACTTAAAGGTGTATCATTTCCATTCATGTACCAGTT